TTCAGTTACTAATACTCTAACTCTCTTTTTTCTAGTTTTTTACTCCTCTGCAATTATGAAACAATTTATCATTGAACTATTTATCATTAAATTTGATATACCCTTAGAAAAGAAACAACGTTATGCATAACGATCTTATGCGAAACGATTTTATGCATAACGATCTTATGCGAAACGATTTTATGCATACCGATCATATGTGTAACGATTTTATGCATAACGATTTTATGCATGACGATGAAACGCGAGCAGACATATAGTAGCATAACGATACTAAAATAAATAAAGCAATTAGTGATTAAAATTAAAAAAAAATATATGGACCAGGATCCTTTGTAGGGTGTTGTGACGCATAATGTTATATTGAGGTTGAATTTACTACCTATTTTACAATACAACTTTAACGGGTTACATATCTTTTTAATTCAATATTGCTTTTAGTTATTTAACTAAACTTATATTTATTTATCTGTTTAAAAAGTAATATCTATAAATGAAAAATACATGTATATATTAATTAAACAGGCCGATATAAAATTATATGAAGCTTTCATATGACATTACGTAATACACTACGTAATACGTGTCTAGTTTAATGCACATAATAACATGTTTACCGATATACGGGTTACCTGGGTAACGATAGCTATAATCCGATTAAGGGGTGCCTAATGGGTTAACCGGGTGAATCTTATACGGGTACAAGCTCTACTTACAGACTAAGAAATTATACTTACCTCTTGAACACTGCTATAAACCTGTAAAGGATCTCTGTAGCTGTGTCATCGTTATAGTACTGCTGTTAAGAAGGCCATGGTACTGTAACATTTAGTGCTTTCTAGTGGAAATATAATTAAATTCCCTTTGCACCTCTCCTCTACCTCTCTTCTTCGGTAATTTTTGGACATCTGTCTCCAGCACACGAGCCGTATTTTTGAATTTTCTGGACATCTGTCTCCAGCACTCGCGCTGTATTTTTGAATTTTCTGAACATCTGTCTCCAGCACGTGAGCCGTATTTTTGTTGAAATCTCTGAACATCTGTCTCCAGCACATGAGCCGTTTTCCTCTTCTTAGTAGACCTTAGACAATTGCTATATTAGCAACTCTCTTCTTAGCATATGGTACAAACTGCTAACGAGTTACATTGAGAATATATTCGTAACCATCAGTGAACACATTTAGACTTAGGACATTTAGCTTTAGACATACTACAATTAGGCTACCTAGACCTTTTTTGCACTAATTGCTATTACCCTTATCGAACAAGTCCTCGTACACCTTTTGGAAGATTTTAAACCTTTTACAACCTTTGCTTCTCAGCCTTACTTTATTCTCAAAGGACCCAAGACGCTTTTGCTATACTTACCAGTACTACCAATCATACTGATACTCGTATAGCAATCTGGGATATTATTTTTAGTTGTCACTATACAACTGCACTTTCCAACCTCCAAAACATAGCCCTTACACTTCTTCAATGACATACCCCTCTCCTTCAACTCCCTACCTTACCATTCCAATACCAAAACACCTTCGACTATTACCTTGACGAACCTCAAACCTTTAGTTTTGA